TGTACTGTGCAAAAGAAAATTGATAAAATAATTTGGCAAATATCTTACTTCGTCACCCAACCATTTGTCATCTAAAACTCCATCTGTCATGGTGAGGCATTGCAAATGCTTATGTAGCAGAACAATGTCATCAATTACCACCAATTGTTTATCAAGATCTGAGGTGTTGACAATTTCGGCCACGTGATTCTGTCGAAACTTGTCAAGGTCGGTCTCCAGCCTCGAAGCACTTGTGTCTGTATCTTTAAAAATGCTTGCACGGTTTTTCCTCTTTGTATTCTTTGTGTCCTTGGAATCGTTGGTAGACTCCGATGGAGTCCTGTTTCTCTTTCTCTTCTTATCACTATCGTACAGAACATAATCTTCATTGCACAATAATGAAATTCCACTCTTTTCCGGATGCTCGTACGAGTTGGTAGCATGGAATCAACCGCGCTATCTTGTCGCTGCTTTGCTAAAGAATCATCATAGTTGTCCTCATCAACTGGGAAGACATGTGTCTCTTCCGGCTCCCTTATTGCCGTAGCCTTGGCAGACCGGTGTTTTCTTTTGGTACCTGCCTCTCCCCCCACCTCAATACTGACATCTTCATCATCTTGATCTCTTCTTTCTTCAGCCTTTCGCACATTCTCATTGTGCCTCAAATTCAGAGGATCCTGTGATTCGAAATAAAGCACTTGTTAGCTTGCAATCTGCACGAAATAAAAAAACAAAACCAGTTAACTGTAAAATGTGCATCACCAGGAAAGCTTCAAGGCTTGTGGTGGCTTTGGAATGCTTTCACGAATCCAAACTCGGAGCACCCTGCGAAGCATCCAACTCTTTATAAAGTTGTGAAACATTCTTGAGACACTCCTTGCAAGCTGCAGCAGCAGCTCTGTCTTCTTCATCCTGAACGTGGAAGATCATATGTTAGCTACGAATCTTCATTAACTTAAAAAAAATCAGTTAGATGTGAAATGTGTATCACCATGAAAGCTTCAAGGCTTGTGGTGGTTTTTGAATGCTTTTGTGATTGCAAACTAGGAGTAGGCTACAAATCTTCAGCTACATTCTTCATAGGGGCATCCATGTTATCTTTTTGTATTCCCTTAGCAGAAATGCCTTTGGCAATGACCTCGGTGTCTTTTTTTTGTTTTTGCTTGTGAGTAGTATTCTCTCCTGGGACCTCCATTGGGTCTGTAGGTACTCCCAGGTCAGATAGCTGTATGTCATCTACTCCTGGGCGATCAACATTAAATATTCCATAGCAGTGGTTCTTTAAAACAAATGTGTTAGTGTGGAGAGTATTGATAGTAAAAATATTTATAGAAACTCATAATGGTATACTTACATTGAATTCTGTGATGAGGTCGTCCATGCGTCTGCCATTCGCAAGTGTACGCCTAAGACACTCGCCCATTTTTTTTCAAGGGTGATCATCCTATCAAATTGTTGTGCACTGGCTTCCCGCACAATGGAGGCAACTTCTTTCAAATTAGCCAATACACGGCCCATGAGTGCCTTATCCTGCAAATTACAAGCAGTTAGAAGCATATGACTTCGATTGTACTTGCAAAGTTACAATATATATTTGTGTCTGATGTTCATCATTTACCTGACCGTCAGTCTTTGGTTTGACCGGCGTCCCAACTGGTGGCGGATTGAAAGGCCGCAGCAGGTCATCGACATACTGTATGTTAGTGTCGTTAGTATCATTCAAAACATATGGTAGATAATCCAGGCACACAGTACTAACACTTTACCTCTCCAACCCCTATATAATTTTTGTTGATTATGTTTTCAACCTTCTGTGCCTTCTCGTCACTCCAGTTTTGGATCAGCGGCCTTAACCTTGATGCATACGAGATGGTAGAGTCCAATTGGTGCACCCTCCACTTCTCGTAGTACCACGTCTGCATTACAACAAAAACAACTTAATTTTTCCATAAAATTAAATGTATTGTATGTTAATAATGATTGTATTACTTGTAGCAATGGTAGGTCGCCCTCCAGATTTGCTCCACCATTTACAAATTTCCTGACACTAGTCATAAGATGGTCAAGTGTAAGCTGTCCAAAATTGGTGCTCTTTATTTTCTCAACGTTTCTAACAATCCCAAGGTATCTGTTGTCCACATACTGCTGTGTTGTCGGGCATACATATTTGCCTATGGTGTACACGACAAATGGCCTGACAAAATTAGGTGTGCTGTTGCCTTTCATCTTGGCTAGCAATCCTTTCAAAGTTACTTTTGTGTCATCGGGGTCTTTCAGTTCCTTCCACAACTCCAAAGTATCATTGTGATTTGAAGAGACGTGATTCTTCCCCATGCAGGGTAGGCCTATTATATGCTCCACATCTTTTAGTGTGATCCTACATGGTCTCCCATTAATTATAAAGGCATCCTGCTCTGCATCATATGATTAAGCGATGGCCTGGCACAGTAGACGTCTCATTCTCATGCCAGGAGTCTTGAGAAGTTCACCCAGTCCAATCAACTTGATGTACGTCAGTTGCTGTGCGTTTAAATCTTTTATGAACTTCTCGTATTGCAGCAATGAAGCAACCTGAGTTCCCTGAATGTACAAATAGTGTGATTAGATTCTGTATAGTATTCATTTAAACACGCATAGAACCGACTAGATGTAATCTATGCCAATATCAAAATTGTGCTCTACATTACTGCATGAAATTATAGAGCTTCTAGGCCATATAATGAACACCAGACATAGAAAAACAAGCTATCTTTGTCCGCAAATTAATTGATACTAGTATAGATTTTTAGTACAAAGAGCAGACTTTGTTCTATGTACACTACTAAAGTTTCAGGCGTCACGCTTACGAAAATAATTGCATACATGATCACAAGATCAATAGTTTATAGATAATCACCATACTAGGAATGTAACATGTGATCCTACTGTCCATCTTTCTCTTTAGTTTTCTCCTTTATTTCTCATCAACCTAAAATTTAATATAGTACATACATTTGATGTTCTCAATGCCAAATAAGTGAGGCGTGCAACTTACGTACAAAACTACTTTGTATTCTGTCTACTACGTATTTGATCAAGAATTTAGGAGTACTACGATTATTTTGTTGATTCGATTGCTGGTTTTAAACAAAGTTGAATTACTAGTCCTTCCTTTCCATATCGTTGCACGTAGAACTTTCCAGCATGAAAATTAGCGCAAGTTTAATTACAGAGAGAGGCATTCACGACTAAAAACTAAGAGAGGAAGGTATCCACGATCTCCCTTAAGTTTTGCTAAAGCACATGTAGATGTGCTCTAAGTATTGCTTATCTAAGTCCTATGTCATTGATTTTATGCTAAGATTCGTGCAAGCCTTTCTAGACACACCAATCTCCCTTCGGTAAAATAGGGATAGTTCGTTATGGCTGTAACTAAACGAGATCAAAAAGAAGTGTGCCGTAAATAATGGGATTGCATGCAGACTTGGGAAGGAGGGTGTATACACAATACAAGGATCTCGTTCGTTACCGGAGGATTCTCTCGATGGCGACCAACTCCATTGCCGTTCGCTTTCATCTTTTGATTCACCGGCTTCTCCAACGTGCCCTTCTCTTTCGTCGGCTTCTCTGACGTGCCCTTCTCTTTCATCTCAGAATTCGCCGATGCAGGCTTTGAAGATGACGGCTCCGTCGGCTTCACCGACCTGGGAGCTACTTTGGGCGGCATGGGGTGGTAATTCGGTGTAGTCATGGAAGGCTAGGTATGGGCGGCGTGAGGTGGGAGGCGTGGGGTGGAAGTATACGATCTATGCCGTGAAAAGCTTCGTATTTATAGGGGATTCTCTAACAACCGATCACAAGGAAATATTGAGAATTTGGGATCTCACAAAGAGGTAGTTTTAGATCACGTAATGTTTATGTATAGGGGATTCTCTAACAACCCACCACAAGGAAATATTGGGAATTTGGGATCTCACGAAGAGGTAGTTTTAGATCACGTAAAGTTTTTTAGCTATATTTTTATTTTGAGAATTTTTTAGCAAGTTTAGATCAGTAATCTCAACCGTGAAGCGTTTGGGCTTCTTGTGCTTTTTTATACGGGCCTATGGGTGAGCCCATTTTAAATGTGAACATGACAAAGGAAGCGAGGACTCCAACAGGCGGGACGAGCCCCGTCCCAATTATTTAGGACGGGTATGCACGAGGGCGCTTCGTTCTCACTGCCACGATTCTCCAAAAACGGTTCCTCTGCCTCTGCGTCGCCCACTCTCCCAACAATCTGCCTTCTGGAACTGTGAGTTCTCTTTCCTGTCAATTTTGTTAGTAGTTCTCCGGTAGCAGCACATACGATGGAAGCGGCGATTCGGCGCCCGAGCCCAGATGCGCTCGTTATCACGATGTCCCGTTCGTGACTTGGGATCGGGAATATTGCCTCTGACGTGTCTGACAGGTATCGATAAAAAAGGATTACTCGGCGGAATATGGTACGAAACAGTACGTAGTTGGTGGTCCTGGTCGTATGGTAGCGGACGGAAGGAGGGCGGGGCGGAGTTGGTCCATGGACCAGAACGTTGACCCAATGGGTGGGCCTTGGATTAGATAAGGAGCTCAGGTCGTCAGAGGAAATCCTAATCCGTCGCTGCACGGACATCCTGCTCACCACCACATGCAACACCGGAGTAAGGGCCAGTTCTTTTGGGTAATTCTCCCAGAATTGACCCCCTCCCCAGCTTCTCCCAGAATTGCCACTTGATATTTTTTTATAATTCTTAGCTAATTAGACCTTAACTAGCTAGGAATTGTAAAAAAAGATGAAGTGGCAATTCTGGGGAAAGCTGGGGAGGGGGTCAATTCTGGGAGAATTGCCCAAAAGAACTGGCCCTAAATGCATCTGCCAAACCCCCAACCAACCCAATGTCAAAAGCACTCTGGAAGGGCCTAGCATCGGTCGACCCCCCTTCTTCTCCCAGGTTGATTAACAGCGATGCCATTTTCTGTGTGGAGGTAGTGAGGAGATTTCTTCCATCGGCGCCGGATCAGGCATGGAGGTAGCAGGCATGGAGTTCCTTCTGGACACCGTCGACAGGTCAGTAATCCCAGATCTACTTTCAAATCGGTGCTCGCAAAATGGTACCTAATCTACGGCCATGGGCGGCGCCCATGTCCGCCGTTTTTCAGGTTCCCCTTGCTGGAGGAATTCACCGACAGTGTTGAGCAGCCGGATCCAGTTCCCCTGGCGCGGATGGAAGCAAACGAGCCAAGTTACGCTGGTAGCGCTGTCTCAAAAGATGATTCTGGTTGTGCCCAACAGATTGGTGAAGTTGAGGTGGACAGGAATGCACCTGCTGCTCGCGGGCGTGCGGCCACATCTCCAACTCGGTCAGCGCAGTCCACTGGCAGGGTGAACCCCGAAGCCCCCGGGTGGACAAAGAGGTACGTTCGCAGATTCGCTCCTCTGTTTTAGGAAGAATGCATTCCTTTGCTTAGTTCAGGGGAATGGATGGCCAGAAACAACCTGTGATTTCTAACTTGAGGGCTACAACATAAAGCTAGACACATGTAATTAAGGAAAAGGCTTCGGGACAAAGAATTAGTGCGTTAGGACTGGAGAAAGGAATACAATACCATTAGAGTGGTATTATAAAAATACATTCATGATTAAGGATGTGTTAAATAACCCTTAACTTCTGAAGTGTGACTAATCGTTTCAGGTTAAGGCTGGGGAGTGCGCCACCGGACAGGACACCATGTCCCAGCCGTATGAGCGCGCTTGAGGAGTCGATGCGCAAGTATGCTGAAGAACCCAGGAAAAATGTGGTGCAGCCGTCGTTGGGTCTGACCTTTGATTCAGTCGGTGAAGCATACGACTTTTACAATTTGTATTCCTGGGAAACGGTTTCGGCATTAGATATGGAAAGAGCCGGCTTAACGTTGAGAGGACAAAGTGTATGCAAGAAATTGTGTGCGGTTGCTCGGTAAGTGCTTTCGGTCTAAAAAGCACCGATACGGCCAGAACTGCCGATTTGCCGTCCTGATACGGGGGGACACGGGGATACGCCCAGATACGGCTGGATACGCGTATCCCGCAGTATCCCATCTTTTTGGAATTAAAAAAAAGAAATAAAATCGGGATACGGCCTAGATACGGCGTGGACACGGTGGGGACTCGGCAGCCAGACTCCAGTGACCATGCTGCTGCCCAGTTATCCTCCCGATAGCAACCATGGTCAAGCAGGTAACCTCAATGGCTGCTAGCAAGGAAGGAGATCTTGATAGAGAAAGATGGCAAGGCGGCCGCCAACAAGGAAGAAGCTCCGGCAGGAAGAAAGATGGGGAGTGTGGTGGCCAGCGAGGAAGAAGATGGGTGATGGAAGCTGCCAATTTGGCGGCGCTGTCGTTTCCTTTCTTCACTGGCGGCTGGAGAAAGGGAGTACGAGAATGGGAGGTTGGGGTCGGCTGGAGCAGCTGGAGTGCTACTAGTCTAGGGTTTTCTGGAATTGGGCCTTACATGGGCTCTAAGTGGATGGACAGCTACATGGGCTCTAAGTGGACGGACAGCTACATGGGCTGTGAGTGGACTGCTCTCAGTCTTTCATGAATAGAAAGGAGACAATATATATCCAGTACTAAAAAATTCTCATTAGATCTTAATTCAAATTTATTTTTCTATATACTTTCATATTTATTTTTCTAAATACTTATATACCCCGCCGTATCCCCGAATGGCTGTTTTTGGAAAATGCCGTATCCCGTATCCCCGTATGCGTATCCCCGTGCTTCCGTCCCCGTATCCGTGCTTCTTAGCTTTCGGTTACTTCTGCTAATCTTTTAACTCGGGTACATAGAATGCAAATGTTTATTGAATTCAATATATGTTGGTGATGAATATGTTCCATTGTAAAATAGGGGAAGCCAGAAGCAGAAAATAGTAGGTCCTGTAGGTGTGAGTGTCCTGCTTTGATCAGATTGTTGAGAGCTGCGGACAACAGCTGGTACATTACAGAACACAGAGAGAGCCATAATCATTCGATGTCGTTGACAATGGGTGAGAAAGTTCACTGGCCGTCGCACAAGCACATTGATGTGTACACCAAGGATCTCATAAAGCAACTGCGGGAGAACAATGTTAACCTTGGCAAGGTGTACAACATAATTGGAAGTTTCTTCGGGTCGGTTGATAAGGTTCCATTCACAAAGAGGACCCTCAGGAACATTTGTGGGAAGATCAGTCGGGAGCAGGCTGATGATGATGTTAGGAAGACACTTTAAGTTTTCACTGACATACAGGCTGGAGACCCTAGTTTCACTTACAGAGTGCTAGCTGATGATACAAGCAAAGTGAAGAACCTGATGTGGGCAAACGGGAGCAGCCGTATGCAGTACCGTCTTTTTGGAGATGTTGTCACCTTCGACACCACATATAGGACAAACTTGTACGACATGCCTTTTGGATTATTTGTTGGGGTAAACAATCATTTTCAGAGCATCATCCTGGCTGGGGTGCTGATGCGCGATGAGCAGCAAGAGAGCTTCGAATGGGTTTTTGCCGAGTTTCTTCGTATGATGGGAGGACCGGCCCCAAAAACTATCTTGACAGGTTAGTGCTGCTTGCAGAGGTTGAATTTTCCTTAACCCTCGCAATATGAAAATGCATATTGTCAGCCATGACCTAATCCTAATATGTTATGAACAAATTATTTCCAAATCAGTGCAGAGCTATGAAACTAGCAATCAACAAGGTGTATCCAGATACAGTTCATAGGTGGTGCAAGTGGCACGTACTAAAGAAGGCAAAAGAGAGCCTGGGTCCTTTATACACCAAAAAAATGACTTCCAGGCTGATTTCCACAAAGTAGTGAACCACATGTTAACCGAAGATGAGTTCGAGACGGCGTGGGGCATGTTACTGGATAAATACAATTTGCGGAATCATGCATACATGACACAGATTTATGAGATTCGTAAAAAGTGGGCAAAATCATATTTCAGAGGTGTTTTCTGTGCCAAGATGACAAGCACGCAACGGAGCGAGAGTGCTAATCACATGTTGAAGATGTACATGCCCCCAGCGAGCCCCATGCATGTGTTTGTGCGGCAGTACATGAGACTTCAATTCGACCGGGAGCGTGAAGAGGGCTACGAGGAGAAAAGAACTATGATTGCAAGACATCAGTTTACCTTTTTCATTGCTGACCCGACCGTACGTCAAAACTAACATTTGAGAATGATATTCTTTTGTGTACAACTTTGTGGCACTTTTTGCAGGGAAGTGCAGTAAGAAGAACAAATTTGGCTATGGAGAGGCACACCAGTAAAATATATACCAGATCCATGTTTGAGGAGTTTGGAAGGTTGCTGATGGAAGCCATAGCCTATAACGTAACGGAGATAGATAAGATGAAGAAATATGTAGCAACCCACAATAATGCGGCGAAAAGAGAGAGATGGAGCAGAGTTGTTTATGAGGTTACCATCAGTGATGATCAGAAGGTGTTTTGCTGTGAGTGTGGTCAGTTTGAACACACAGGTTTGCTGTGCAGCCACATTCTAAGGGTAAGTAAAAATGTTAAATGTTGTTCTGTGACTTAAAAGTTTGGTAACATGGGTTCTAAATTGCAGGTTATGGAAATACTTCACCTTGAGGAGATCCCAGAAAAAGATATTGTGAAACGGTGGACGAAGGACGCAAGGGACATTCTTCCTAGCCATCTGCAGCAGTACCAAAAGGACAAATGGAGCAACACATCATTCACATGGAGGCATTCAACACTGTACTTGAAAGCTATGGAAGTCGTTCGCATGGGGGATGCTAGTGCAGAATCATTTGACTTCATGCTAGGTGGGCTGGATGATCTGCTGGTGCGTGGAGCACCTATTGCAGAAAAGAGGGATGGAATGGGTTTTGAGGATCGCATCACGACATTGGACCCTCTGAGACACACTAGAAATGGAGAGGTTGCTTTCGTGGTCGGGACAGTTGCCGATAAAGAGAATAGCATGGCACATTCGGTGAGCGTGAATGACTTGCAAGGGCTAGCTCCACCCGGTAAGCAAAGGGGGGTCGGAAGGCCAACAAATAGCAGGGAGAAGGCACCGTACAAAGGACTGAGTAGACGTACACGCTTCTGCAGCATTTGCAGGAGGGAAGGACACAAGAGAACTACATGTCTTGACAGAGGGGATGCACCGAAAAAGCCGAGGAAACCTGGTCAATGCAAGAACTACGGAATCGAAGGTCACCGCCGCAACACGTGGACTAGGCCATTGGGCTTTGGTGCAAACTAGTTTTCGACATTCATACTTTATGGTTTCCCATTTCGATTTACTAGGCTTTGCGACAGCCATGGTTAGCACTTGCATGGTTTTCGTAGTTGCATGCAGAAAAAGATAATGTAGTCTCAGCTGAGCATCCAAGCTCTTCCCCAATGTAATAAGATATAATGTGCTGGATGTGTGTGAGGATTTTCATTGTTCGTGAGGTGTAAAACTGAACTGTTTAGTCAACTATCAGCATAAAAACAAAATTGTCTCTTGGTTTTTAGTAGGAGTGCATCCGAGTAAATTTAGAAAACTTGGAGATTTAAGATTTCAGAGTTCAGGTTGGGCCGAGCGTGATGAAACTCAAATAATTGTTTCAGTGAGCCAATGCTATCTGAACTCATATCCGGCGACATGTGGCGATCATGCAAGTGTTGGCACACTTTTGGTCCGAGCATCTGGAGCGCGCGTGTCGTGGAGTTCAAAATTTGAATGAAGCTAGTTAATGCAGAACTTGATAGCCCTGAATAGCTTACCAAGCAGTACAACAGTATAAAAGGAGATGCCGGGGCAGCTACCTGGCCTGTACCCACTGTCTCAAATAGTTGAACTCATAGATCTGGTGCCTGGAAGGATTGAAGAGATGGCACCAAACGCTGTTGAGCCTGCAGGAAGTGGCTCGATGGGGAGATCTGAATTGAGTGGTTCAGCCTTTGGTGTTCAGGATCAGGTTCATCTATCCTCCTTGTAGATTGAATTTCTGAATCATGGGGAGGTGTCCTTGTTTCTTATGATATTGATTTTGCAGGCAAAGTCCTCTTCATTTGTGTCGTCAGCGGCGAGTTGCTGGAGTACGACTGATTTGAATCCGCATGATGGCGATGTTCTGCGTGAGGTGAGTGCTGAAATGGAATTTTTCCCTGAGTATTAGTAAAATAAGTTCACAAATTTCTGAACATACGAAACGACTTTCAGGGGGAAGTGGTTCAAGCAGATCGTTCGGAACAATGTGTGCAAGCTCAGGGAGTGGACATGAATGGGGATGAAGGAGAGATTCAGGAAGGGTTCGGCGAGCACGATCCAGCGGTGCAGACAACGAGCGATGACAGTAGGGGCGACCTTGTTTTAGAGGACGTTTCTGCTGTGATGGACTCAGTGAGGAAGGGAACCTACGAGGAAGAAGAAGTGAGCAGCAGGGTGGCGAAACGACCCCGTCTGGAGTCTTAGTTTGTGATCTCCGTTTGTAGTTTCTAATGATATATCTTTTGGGCATCAAGAAGTATCTGTATCTCATTGGCGTCCATAGAAAAATGTAGTTGAAGAACTGGGTGCGGGGTAGTACGGGAAGAATGGGTGGTGCAGTGGGTGGTTGAGGGGGGATTAATTCGATAGCCAAGCCTGTAGTATGTGCTGCGCACCGACACCATGGTGTTTGGGGCAAACATGGCGGAAACAAGAAAAAAACAATCGATTAGGGGGTCGGGGGAAGTACTTATCGAGCAGAGTCATAAGTCTGGACTTGATTAATTACGAAAACAAGCAAGCACTGAACTTGCTAAGTGCATTTTTTTCATTGACGTTCATGTGTCAGCGTTTTTCCGCGGCAACTTCAGTGTAATATGCTTCTCACACATTTTCAGTAAGTGAAAAAATAAAGAAATACAAGTGATAAATCACCGTTGTGCGAACGTTGTGTTGTACATTTTTTCCGGATTTTTCGACCATGAAGTAGGTTAGGGACGGATTATGCTGTGGATCGGAGATGCATAATGGACGATCCGCCATGTCCACTAGCTGGCGAAGTAGCGGAGTATTACCTTACAGGGAAAATAACAGTTGCTACGGACACTTAGGTGATACCGTGATACGGGCTCCTGGGCCGTTGGTTTTCAAATCCGACGGCTCCTGGAAGTCTATTGTACCTATGTGAAATTTTAAGACTCCTGGATGACTTCTTTGGAAGATGCTCAAGAACTTCCGGGAGCCATAGGATCTGAGATCCAACGGCTCCCAGAAGCCCGTAACATGTTATCACCTAACACATGGTATCACCTGATATCTTCCCTTACCTTAGACAACCTTAATAATATTGATGGGGCGGTTGCGAAGTTTTCGGAAAAAAACGTCGGTGAGCAATGAGATAATGGCATGGTAGAGCTGTTACCAAATCCATATTTATGGGTGACAAAAAAAACCTAGTAAAACCAAAGTGGAAAATAACCCAAGGATGATCTTTTACCCCCTAGATACGTAGCCACCAGCATTGACCATCAACAAAACCACCTCCCATTGCACCGAACATAAGGCAAGCAAG